GTGAACTGTTGCTTTTTACGTCTCCCAAGAGAGGCTCGCCTCACAGCACCGCTCTGTCAAATCTGCGATTTCAAGGTATAAATAAATGAAATAAGGCACAGCACAAATCACTTGATAAAGTGACCAAACATTATTGTATCCATTTTATTACTTTTCTTTCTATGATCTTAGGTGAGGGCCTTGCCTGCCTCATCTGACCGCACGTCACTGGGCTACACAACACAATGAAGCCACCGGAGAGACTGACGCATGAATGCGTATTGAAAAAAAAAAAGTTCAGTTTGATAAGTGACTTGCTTGATATATATTGTTTATTTTGTTTTTCTTAACAATTAAGATGGTATGTTATTATCCAGTGTAATCCAAGTATGAGTCTCTCCCTCGACTCTCCCAACAAAAACCCGCCCCCCCTCTCAGAAAATAGTTCCGACGTCCATGAATGTATGCATTTATATCAGACACAAAACTCAAACAGCAGAATAAGCCTAGTCTGCCTGGGTCTTCAAACTCCATCACAGACAGGAAGTGGGCGCCTGGGGTGATTCCAGAGGTGTGGACTCGAGTCATGTGACTTGGACTCGAGTCAGACTCGAGTCATGATTTTGATGACTTTAGACTCGACTTGACCAAATATAAAAAGACTTGCAACTCGACTTGGACTTTAACATCAATGACTCTGACTTTCACTTGGACTTGCGCCAATTGACTTGTAAAGACTTGCGTAACCCGGGCCATTTTTACCTTTCTCCGCATCTCTCTTTCTATCTATGCCGTCTCTGAAGAAACAAAGCCTCGCGGTAGTTGTAGCGCTCGCGCGAGAGTTCGAACGTGAGTTCCAGGCAGTTCGCGCAGCAACACTTCCCTAAACAAGCGGACTGCATTCACCGGTGGGTGTGTTGTCTAGGGGAGCTGGAAATGAGCGAGCTGCAGGTATTTATCGCGACCTAACGTCATATTTTGTTCTACAAACCGTAATTGATATGCTTTCACTACAGGCGCCTCATACAATTGAATCGACGCAGTTGTCACACTCTGTGCCGTGTTTTAAAGAGGAACTGGTGAGTCAAACTAGCGCTAGCCTGCGCTGCTCTGTTGGCTCTTTCTTATATTTTTCTGTGTGGGCGCCGAGGCCTATTATTATGAGTATGTTTTTGCTGTGCTCCTCCTGCTAAAGTTTGCATACATTAGATAGTTGTTTTGATTATGTGCACTAAGCTAGATTAATATTTCCACTATTGTTTATGGTGCATTGATATGAGAATCAGTGCTTTGACTGATTGAATTAATTTATATGAGACATTTTATTATGTAATGATATATTGGTAATTATGAGATATTACTAATGCTGGCCCAGTTCATACAGGCCGGGGTCCTTCCCCTCCATTGGTCCCTTCAGTCCTTTGGAACAATAACCACTACGGACATTAAACTGATTATATAGATACAGGTCCTAGCCCAATACTCATATTCATATATGCTGCACTTGCTACTTCCCATTAAAAACCCCAAAGATAAAAAGTATGTTGACACGGACTGCTCTGATTTTATGTGTGGTCTGTGCATGTGTAACTGAGCCTGCATCTGGCACAACATAGTTTTGATTTACCAGCAGCCAACCACATGGAACAAACTGTTAGTCCATGGGTCAGAGACCAACGAGAATGCACCAGCAAAATGATTCCTAACATTATTTTGTTTGCCTACAAAAGTACGTGGAGACCAACAAGAAACAAATCGCGGTCAAAAAGACTCGAGAGGACTCGAAAGTCAAACCGTAGGACTTGGGACTGACTTGAGATTTGTTGGCCTTTGACTTGGACTCGACTCGGGACTTGCCTGTCTTGACTCGTGACTTGACTCGGGACTTGAGGGCGATGAATTGAGACTGACTTGTGACTTGCTAAACAATGACTTTGTCCCACCTCTGGGTGATTCAATGTAACCTTCACAGACAGGAAGTGGGCGCCTGGGGTGATTCAATGTAACCTTGCACTCCAGACTGTCGATAGTCCCCTGACGGCTAAGATCATGTTCACTGCTGAGGATGCATTAGACAGAGCTCCGTCCACAACACACTCATGATGTGGTGAGGACGACTGACAGAGGAGGAGCACGGGGCTATTTCACAGATTTCAGTGTTATATGTCTCGCAAACAAAAGTCTGGAATCCTCTGCTTTAGCCTAAAACATTTAGACCTTTTAGAATTACTAGAATGAATGTCCAGATTTTGAACAAGTGTGTAGATTCTAGAAAGGCGGTTTTGCCAGACCGTGTTGATACATAATTCTTTTTAGTAAATTCATAATCACGACATGTGGCCAGACTTGTATGCAAAAGCTAAATCCTGTCAGGTCTGAGGTGATGCAGGGCAGGGCCTGGTTAGTACTGTGATGGGAGACCTCTCTGAACACCACAGTGGGGCGGCTGCGGCTGTACAGTGCCGAATTGTAGTTGTGTCTTTAGGCAAGACACTTCATCCACATTAGAATGAGTCTGCTGTGTGTGTGTGAATGGTAAGGCAAGGCAAGTTTATTTATATAGCACAATTCATACACAAGGCAATTCAAAGTGCTGAACAAAACAAGAAAGCATTAAAATCATAAATTATCACAGAACATTAAAAAGAAAGATAAAAATATAAAATCCCTCAGTTGTAGCACAGTTAAACAGAACTGTCTTTAACCTGGTTTTAAACATTGTCAGAGAGGAGGCCTGTCTCACATCTTCAGGAAGACTGTTCCAGATTTTAGCAGCATGAATCTGAAAAGCAGCCTCCCCATGTTTAGTTCTGACTCTGGGCACTAACAGGAGTCCAGTCCCTGTGCTCCTCAGAGTCCCAGCAGGAGTCCAGTCCCTGTGCTCCTCAGAGTCCCAGCAGGAGACCAGTCCCTGTGCTCCTCAGAGTCCCAGCAGGAGTCCAGTCCCTGTGCTCCTCAGAGTCCCAGCAGGAGTCCAGTCCCTGTGCTCCTCAGAGTCCGGGCTGGTTCATATGGGACTAACATGTCACAATATATTTTGGTGCGGGGAGGCCATGGAGAGACTTGTAACAAGCAGAGCTGTTTTAAAGTCTATTCTCTGAGCCACAGGAAGCCAGTGCAGAGACCTGAGAACTGGACTAATGTGGTCGTACTTCCTGGTTCTAGTCAGGACTAATGTGGTCGTACTTCCTGGTTCTAGTCAGGACTAATGTGGTCGTACTTCCTGGTTCTAGTCAGGACTCGAGCTGCTGCATTTTGAATGTACTGCAGCTGTTTTACAGCCTGTTTGGACAGACCTGTGAGCAGGCCATTGCAGTAGTCTAACCTACTGGAGACAAATGCATGGATAAGAATCTCCAAGTCTGCTTTAGACACTATGTTTTTGATCCTGGCAATGTTTTTTAGATGGTAAAAAGCTGCTGATGTTACTGATTTGATGTGGCTATTAAAATTTAAGTCTGAGTCCAGTATTACCCCTAGATTTCTGACCTTGTTTGAAGGTTTTAGGGAGAGAGACTGTAGGTGACAGATGACGCTCTCTCTTTGTTTCTGGTTGGTGGTGGTGGCAGTGGCCAATGGCATAGAATGGTTGCCTTGCTGACACAGTGTACCCCAGGACAGCTGTGTCTACAATAATTTATCGCCACTGTATTTGGAGTGAAAAAATACATAGGTTGTCCGGAAAACAAAAACACTACATAAAACTAATGAATTATTATTTTATTATGAGAGAAATTAAGTCAGAAAAGACACTAGGCCTTCATTCAACACTAGGCAGAGGCAACGTAACAGCAGGTTTACAGTGTGCAAAGAATTGATAAATAGAAAGAATGAATGGCCTAATTAAAACACAGATAAAATACAACACCTCTAAATCACACAGACACAATTCAATACATACAAAACATACATCACACAATTATTTACATCTGACTAATGACTACAGACTTGATTCTCTTTGAGCCAGTTTTTTTAGGCTGAGTTTAAACTGTCCTAGTGAGCTACTCTCCCGCACAGACAGAGGTAGTGAGTTCCAGGCCACTGCTGCTTTGACAGAGAAACAGTTCTATGTTCTATCTACTATGAATGTAACGTTCAAAATATTTTCACTCGCGAGCAGAGTTTGTTGATATGTTCGAGGTCCCAGTTAGAAAAAGTTTGGGAACCCCTGTTTTATTTAGACCAAGTCCCACACAGACTGTTCCTCGGGCAGTCCACGCCATCTAGTGTCCATCTAGACGCCATCATCTTATAGGCAATGCCATGGATCTATTATAATAACAGGCACGGTGAGTTTTTTTCCTGCACAGTTCATACGCATGGAAACACATCAAGAAAATAAACATTAAAGTCATATAAGGCATAAAATGAATCTGTGCTAAACACGTTCAGCCAGCGGAGTGTCGGGGTCCCCAAAATCTACTAAGAGCAAGAATGTGTCATAACAATAAAAAAAGATACTTCAGAGTAGGACAGATGCAGGTTCGTTATGATCTGAATAATATCCTTTGAATCATATTTTCAGCACTAAAAAACAAAACAAAAAACAGCTGGAGGTTTGCAGTGGGCGGTACCAACTCATTGTATTTATTATTTTTTTTATTGCATTTATTTTACGAAAGTACAATACAAACATGGCAACGTGCTGTTCATAATAATAACATATATGAGGGAACATTGACAGTCCAGTGCAAAAGAACGAAAAATACAAATAAAAAAACAGTAAAAAGGGCGGTACCAACTTCGGTTTCCCTTTTCCTCACGCTACTTCCGGTGTGCGTCTCACGTAAGGCACGTAACATTCACGTAACCATGGCTCATTTGTAACTTCCATAGTTGGAGTTGTTGGAGTTGTGTCCGGGACGGGTCAGAAAGGAGACATGGGCCCAGTGTGGTGTTAGTGTGTAGTTGTGTGTATTTGTGTATGTGCATGTGGTTGTGGTTGTGTGTGCATGTAGTTGTGTGTGTGTGCATGTAGTTGTATGTGCATGTAGTCTGCGTGCACACGGAGCGGAGGCCACATGGAGACCCAGAGCGGCCTGGAGCAGAGAGTGTCCGCCCCCCGGTACTGCCTGCTGCGGGAGCTGGGCAGAGGGACCTACGGCGTCGTGTACGAAGCCAAGTCCAGGAAGTCCGGTGCAAACGTAGCCGTGAAGAAACTCCGCTGCGACGCGCCTGAGAACGTGGAGCTGGCGCTGCAGGAGTTCTGGGCTCTCAGCAGTTTGGAGAAACGACATGAAAACGTGGTGCATTTGGAAGAATGTGTGCTGCAGAGAAATGGCCTGGCCCAGAAGATCAGCCACGGGAACAAGCGGTCCAAACAGTACCTGCGGCTGGTGGAGACCTCCCTCAAAGGTTTGTGCATCTGCTCTAAGACATGGCACGCAGATGGTTCTCTTACTGGTGTTAGAAAGTGGTTACACGTTCACAATACACATACATATATACATGCTGTACTTTATACTTGCTTCTTATTCTGTCAAATGTAGAGATGTTATACTTCTTATGTTAAAGATGGAGATTTTTTACTTGATTTAGAGATTTTATTTTAATTTGCATTGCTATTGTGTTGTGCTCATCATTCCTACTGTTCTGTAACTTGTGACACACACACACCACGAGTTGCTTGTTTCCTGAATGCAGAGATCAGCAGCTGCTCGGATCTAGTTGGAGCCAGATCAGCTGAATTTTGCTTTCTTATTGGATAATCAGCTTGAGATCTTATGTTTTTCTAATGTGTTTATAATAATGCATCAGTATTTTTGAACAGACAGGACTGTGTAAGATGTATACAGCTGGTCTTGTGTGTGAGGAAAGGGATATAACTAATTGTATAAGTATGTTAAATATATTCAGTGGTGATGATCCTGGACACTCAACATTTATCAACATTAGTCATCAGCCCCTTTTGGACCAATACCAATGTGTTTTCTGTGTTTTCCAATGTGTTGTGATTTAGGGTGATACAAAAATACATTCAATCGACTTGAATTCTTACATACACTGCCCCCTTTAATGTTTTTTTTCCCCCCAAATTGTTTTGTAATTGTAAATGAATTGCCTCCTTTCAGGATATGTACTTGTAACTGAAACCTTGTAGACACTTTTCTAATTGTTAACTTCAAGGCATACTAAGTGTCATAAAACAACTGCACGTAATTGAGTAGTTTGATCGTTTGGAAACTATTTAAATAGTTTCGACCACATTAGTCCAGTCCTCAGGTCTCTGCACTGGCTTCCTGTGGCTCAGAGAGTTGATTTTAAAGCAGCTCTGATGGTGTACAAGTCTCTACATGGTCTTGCACCGAAGTACATTAGTGACATGTTGGTGCCGTATGAACCAACTCGGACTCTGAGGAGCACAGGGACTGGACTCTGAGGAGCACAGGGACTGGACTCTGAGGAGCACAGGGACTGGACTCTGAGGAGCACAGGGACTGGACTCCTGATGGTGCCCAGAGTCAGGACTAGGCATGGAGAGGCTGCATTTCAGGTGTATGCCCCAAAAATCTGGAACAGCCTTCCTGAGGATGTACGGGAGGCCTCATCTTTAGCATTATTTTAGTCTAAGCGGAAAACAGTTCTTTTTAGCTGTGTATATGACTGACTTTTATATATTGAGCTTTTTATACCGTTTTTAATTCTGAAATTCAGTTTGAAATGTTTATTTTTATGCAACAATGTATTGTTTTTGTTATTATTTTATATTACGTTTTATGTGTTTTAAAATGTTTGTAAACGTGTATGATCTTGTGAAGCACTTTGGGCTGTACTGCATGAATTGTGCTTTATAAATAAACTTGATTGATAAATGACGTCGTGACATAATTCGTTCTTGATACTAATTCTATGGTTATGTGTTTCAGGCGAGAGAGTCCTCAGCTCCCCGGATGAACCCTGTTACCTCTGGTTTGTAATGGAGTTCTGTGAAGGGGGGGATCTGAACCATTTCATTCTATCTCGCAGTCCTGACCCACAGACCAACAAAAGCTTCATGCTGCAGCTGACCAATGCTGTGGCCTTTTTGCACCAAAACAACATAGTGCACCGAGACCTCAAACCAGACAACATCCTCATCTCCCACGCGTCTGGTTCACCTGTTCTCAAAGTGGCCGACTTCGGACTGAGCAAGGTCTGTGCCGGCTCCAGAAATGACGCTGAAGGCAAAGAGCGCGAAGATAACCACAAAAACGTCAATTTGAACAAGTGTTGGTTGTCCTCCGCCTGTGGTTCAGACTTCTACATGGCGCCGGAGGTTTGGGAGGGCCATTACACCGCCAAGGCTGATATCTTTGCCATGGGTATAATCATTTGGGCCATGCTGGAGAGGATCACGTTCATTGATGCAGAGACAAAGCGGGAGCTGCTCGGGACGTACGTGAGGCAGGCGGGGGGCATCGTGCCGGTGGGCGAGGCGCTGCTGGAGAACCCCAAGATGGTCCTCAGTATCCCACAGAAGCGGAGGTCCCAGATGTGTGAAGGGGTGAGGAAGCTGCTGCGGGACATGCTGGCGGTGAATCCTGCCGACCGACCCGATGCCTTCCAGCTACAGAGCAGGATGGACCAAGTCGACTCCGCCTGAAGGTACGAAACTAAATGTGGCGTCGGCTGGACATCGGTGCCCCCTAACCTAACCCTAACCCTTGTTAAATAAGTGTCTTGTGTTTGTCTGTCCTTTTTTTGGGGTTGTGTTTTTGTTTTTTTAAGTTTTCTGTTGTTTTTGTGTTCTTGTTGTTGTCTGTTTGGTTGTCTTTAGTTATTAAATGAAAAGAAAAAAAAGGAAAAATGGCAAATAAAATGACATTGGGCAATGGTGGCGCGTGTGCAAAGAGACACCAGTAGGGGGCGTCTGTGCACTTTCCTCTGTAGAAGAAGCGAAGAAGATGGCGGTGGTCGTGTGGCGATATTTGACAGTATCAGAAAAATATTGGGAGTTTACAGTTTGCACGAGTTCAGTGAGATCTGCGAGAAAATCATTTGACACAAAGAATGTCATTGGACGTTTGAGAAAAAGTAGGAAAACTGAAGCCGCCAAGAAATATATATAGATATCAAAAAGATAAAACATCGGCCAAGTTTTTATGTTAAACATCTGTATTGGCCCAAAATTTCCCAATCTGTGCATCCCTAGTTTATTCGCAGTAAAAGTTTCCTTCAGAGAGGGTAGTCATGTAGATACAGAGACCCATCCATTTTCTTCCCCTTAATCCATTTCTGGGTCGGGGGGGGTGGCAGTCAGACTCAGAGCTGCACCCAGTCCACAGAGCACCAGCCCCTCACTGATCCTCCTGCAGGTGCTGAATCCACAGGAAGCATGATCTTCCAGTGAGGGATTCAGGCAAGGTGTGGTTAAGTGTCTTGCTCAAGGACACAACGACTGCAGCCATCAGTGGTAGTTATGAAGTAGGTGTTGCGGTCAAAGCTCGAACCAACTGAGCTACTGTCGCCCACAGTTATGTAGATACAGAGATGGATATAGTTCATTGTTATTTAGCAGTAGTTGTCGTCTGAGTTAGGAAAACCACTGTACTTAGTTTTTTTTAACCTGTTTTTATTAAGGCCATACTGTATATAAATCAGATTTTGATTATGCCGCATTTATTCTTCAACATTTAATAACTTTGTGGCAAGAATTAAGATATTCAATCAACTTTCTCAGCTGATTTAATTCAAGTGCTTGAAGATAGTGCTATAAAGGGTTCCACTAATCCTGTCTTTTCTTACAGATTGTGACGCCGCCGCTGCCTTGTCCTGGAGGATAATCAAAAGTCCTGGAACATTGCTGCTTTTCTTCAAACATCTGTTGGACCGAGATTCAATATTGACCCTGTATGAAGATGTTTTTACCGTACAACACTAGTATCCCATATGTTATGATACTCAATCTGAGGCCATTTGATCGGTTTGACTCTAGAACAATCATAGGTCATGTGACTTTCCTCCAGCGTCTCTGTGGGAGCCGGTTTATCAGCTCCACACGACTCACGCTGAAAATGTGAAAACGCAGGAACTGAGCAGAGCTGTTCTGAGTCGGGCTCAAAACACGACGTTACTCTTACTTCAGGTCATGTCTGCGTTTACCTTTAAGCATCGGGACTGTGCTGAGGTTTGGTCATCTGCTTGTTTTATTTCAAGTACCAAACATCTTTCCTAAACAAAGCAGGATTTATCCGGTCGTAAACTGGTCATGGAAGACCTTTTATTCACTGTGGAGGAAGAGCGTGTCCAAACCGGTCCAGAAAGGGTCGCTGAGACTGCAGGTTTTCTATCAGACCCAGCAGGAACAGAGCAGACTCCGCCCATTTCATCAAGTGAGCCCTTTCTGGACTGGTTTGGACACCTCTGAGGTAGAGCGTGTAACGAGAACACATTTTACATATATAACATTTGAACTACATTGTGCGACTGACACTAAACAGCAAGACAATCCCAGTAAATCTTATATTTGAAATGGAGAAATTACTCTACAACTAAAATATTCCCAGTTATGAAGAAATGTCGGTTGTTCCAGCTGAAAGATGGATTACTGAGGGGCCAATGTGGGAGATGTGCTTTGACTCGTAAATAAATAAACTTAATATGTCCATGGCACGTACTACTTCTACAGGTTGCCATGGTGATCAAGACAGGATGTTAGACCAGTGTGCAACTACAGTATTTATGGTAGAATTGTTGATTTGCCAATTTTGGTGCCTTTAAATCGTGACCATGTTTAAGCTTTCTACCTCATTCTTTTGGAGTCACGGTTTGTCTTCCGCAGGCGAGTGTTTGCGAGGAGCGAGTAGACGCTGAGTTTGCACACGTGTCGAGAAAGTAGATACCGAGTTTGCACACGTGTCGAAAGTAGATACCGAGTTTGCACACGTGTCGAAAGTAGATACCGAGTTTGCACACGTGTCGAGAAAGTAGACGCAGAGTTTGCACACGTGTCGAGAAAGTAGATACCGAGTTTGCACACGTGTCGAGAAAGTAGACGCAGAGTTTGCACACGTGTCGAGAAAGTAGATACCGAGTTTGCACACGTGTCGAGAAAGTAGATACCGAGTTTGCACACGTGTCGAGAAAGTAGACGCAGAGTTTGCACACGTGTCGAGAAAGTAGACGCCGAGTTTGCACACGTGTCGAGAAAGTAGATGCAGAGTTTGCACACGTGTCGAGAAAGTAGACGCAGAGTTTGCACACGTGTCGAGAAAGTAGACGCAGAGTGCACACGTGTCGAGAAAGTAGACGCTGAGTTTGCACACGTGTCGATGCTATACTTGAATTGCTCTGTGCCTTAGGGCATTTGTCACTACTCATAATTCCAACATTTGTTTTGATGTTTGATTTTACTTGACTTTCTGACTAAAGCTAAATAAAAGGTTAATTTGAATGAGTGTATTTTTTGATTTCACTCGGAAAAGTAAAACCAGTTTAAAAATTGAAAAATGTATTGTATAAAGATTAGCCTGGTCTTACCACATCGTACTATTTCATTTCATACATGTTGGGAAATGATAATTGACCAGAGTTTACACATAGCTAAGGCCAGGCTGAGGAAGAGTAGATATCGAGAAGAGAATCCTATCATTTTAATGCATTAATTAGAATGGAACAGTGCATTCATCAACGTAGTTCTGAATGACCCTAATCTATTCGTCTGCTGTCTAATGTGTTCGGGTAAACATAAGTAATCTTTATGTATTTAGCGCCTTACACAGACCAGGGTCACAAAACACTTTACTTTTTGGGTGTTTTTAGTGGTGGAAACCAGAGCAGACACAGGGAGAACACGCAAAAACCACTCAGAAAGGCCCTGTTCCAACCCAGGACCTTTTTGCTGAGAAACGAGAGTCCACCCAGTAAACTTGAGTAAACCTACACAAACACAAGGAGAACATGCAAACTCCACCCAGGCTTTGTGTTTCCCTGGAGTTAATCCCAGGACCTCCCACCACTGAGCAGTGAACATTTTTATTTTTATTATTATTTATTAGAGAATTTTCTAATGTTCATGTGGGTAGAGTAAGGCTGGGAACTGGAGTTTAGATTACCTTTCAGACTTTCTGAACGCTCACATAAGTATCCAAAGTTTATCCACTTCTTCTCAAGAGCCTTCTTCAAAGATAAATCCAGATTGATCCATGTGTGTATCCTCAGAAGTCTGGCTTGTCCGACACTGGATGACAACGGCAAAATGGATCCAAATAAGCAGGGACGTCGACGGGGTACTTAAAATCTGGATATTTAATCAAAAAATACAAAGACATTTGGGCAGCTGAAAGTAATGATTGGGGTTTTCAGATGGTTTCAGATACAAATAATATAAAGTCTGTAACAAAACACAGAACACACAACTGGACCGCCGTCAATGAGCTGCTGGCTTTGACAACCTCCCGCTGGTAACTATGGTAACCACCTCCCTCTGGTCACTACCTCTCTCTGGTTACTGCCCTCTCTCTGAACTTGTGGGGGAAAAAAACGGTGTCAAAAGTTGCCGTAGACGAACGGAGGAGGTCGACGGCTCCAGCCACAGGTGGAATGTGAAAAAGTTTGTGTTGAGCAGGAGCAGCTAAGTGATGTCCTTCTGTCTGGGCGGTCGGTGGATGTTTCGCACCACACACTTCACCATCCACTCTATGCCTTCATCCACGCCATCGCTGCAACAGAAGGGATTGTATTAACCACAAAATAAAAGGACAATATTGGAGTGTTTAGTTTGGCCCATTTAAAAGTATTTGGGAGGATTTTCTACGTCAGGGTGGATCATCTAAACCCGGGATGCCAAAGTCAAACACTTCAAAGCCGGGGGCCGGACTGGTTCAATTCTTGTTAAAACATAAAAATGCATATAACCAGTTAAACCAAGACCTGACACAGTGGGCCATATTTTATTTAATGATTAAATGAATAATCAAATATTTTTGTGGCTCTGTCAGTCACAGACAAAAACAAACTTCCTTCGAAGAGAAAACACACGTCCTGAACATTAAAATCTACTAATCAAATATCATCCCAGGGGCCAAGATATTTCATTCATGAGCCGGATCTCGCCCCCAGGCCTTTACTTTGACACCCATGATCTAAACTATTGATCCTCCTAAATGTGACATAATAAAGTTTCTTGATCTCTTTGTTTCATTTGTTTGCTAAATCTCAGTGTTGTTTTGTTGGATTGTTAGCGAGACATATTGTAAATCAGGGGTGTGCAAACAAGAATATAAATGTACATGTTAGATAAATGTATAATTGTTATAGATTCAAGAACAACGTTTTCATTAGATATGAAAACAGCAGATTTTCTTTTTTTAAATGTTCATATTCAGTAATAACAATTTATTGATATATTTATATTGGGGGCGACAGTGGCTGTTTGTAGAGCATTGGCCTTTGAGCCTGAAGGTCGTGGGTTTGAGTCCACCACGAGACCTGCTCCACCGACTCCCACTGATGTCTGCTGTTGTTGTGTTCTTGGGCAAGACACTTCACCCCGCTAGAAGATCAAGGCTGTGTTGTCACTGACAGAGCAGCCATGTGTACTGGGTGCCTCTGTGACTGCCACTTCCCGACCCAGAAATGGATTAAGGGACAGAAAATGAATGAATGGATGGATGATATATTCTACACATATTGCAAACAGTATATGGAGCAATATAGTAAACCAGTGTGGGCGGGTCCTGGCTCCAAAAGCTCCAAGAGTGCTGTGTTATTGTTATAGATCCACGGCGGTGACAGACATGCATGTTCAGAGCCTTTACTCACCCCGTCAGAGCCGTACAGGGTTGAACCAAACAGTCTCTTTTGCCGATCTTTGGGGCACAGTCACTAAAAGCTGTTTTAATGTCAGGCACGGACAAGCAGCTCTGTGGAGAAAGTAAGATGTAGGTCAAACAAGACACTCAACTCTTAATGCGGTTGCTATGACAACGTACCGGTACATCCTGTTTATTAACTAAAACCAGAAGAGGAACACCTTCTAATGAGTCACTGCTAATCATTTTTTCTGCAGAGTGGAAACGATGATTAGTTACAGGAATGAAAAAAAAGAATCTCGACCCCAGGATAAGGCACAAACCGAACGCCTCCTTGGACTCGGAAAGCCGCTCTTCGTCTGTGGAATCTATGACGTAGATGACTCCATGAGACTCGGCATAATACTAGACAACAAACACAAAAGCTTTTTACCCAACGCACTCACGACAGGCAAAATACACAAAACTATATTGATTTGATGAGTTGGTTTGGTTAATGTCAGAAATATTATTACTTTTTAGATGCATATGGTTTATATAACACAAGATGAGTGAATATAAAAGTGTCGCTAAAGACTTCAATCTATAATTTTAGCTCAAAACAGAACAAAGTATGAATGAGATTAGTATTTGCAAGTGAAATATGTAATTATGGGTTTAGTGCAACAGCCTCTAGAGACAGACGGAGTTCTAATCAGTCCACACGTGCTGCTCCTGAACTGCACATGTATGATTATTATTAGATTAAGAGATTCTTTATATGTCCCACACCGGGGAAATTTCAGTGTTGCATCACAAATTACAGAACAGTAGGAAAGAGGAGCACAGAACAAGATACATTAACAATAAGTCTATACTGATAAAAAATACAAATCAAATCTCTAACTCTAGCATCAAAGAAACAAATCTCTATCTTTAACAAAATAAAGAGGTATAAAATCTCTACATTTGGCCAAATAAGAAGCAAGTATAAAGTTCTGAGTATTTTATGTTTACTTCTGTGTAGCGTCACTCGGCTAAGAAATAAAGCCAGTTTTAAAACATGTTTTCAGTGTAATCTTTAATCTATAATATCTGTAGATTCTATCATGCTCCTGACACACATAAGTAAAAGTGCGTTGAGATACTTTACATCAGGGGTCTCCAACCTGAGGCTCGGGAGCTACCAGTAGCTCGCCAGCCCCTTTCAGGTAGCTCGCCAAAGGAATTAGTATTCAACAAATGATCTTGAATTTATACATTTTGAGTCATTACAAATATATAAGTATAAATATTGTGTTATACAGTATCATGGTATGTGCTCTCCATGTTGTGCCGTAATTATTAGATTTTTATTATGACTGCAAAAGGAGTAGCTCTCTGCCTCTTATTTTGTATAAAAGTGGCTCTCTGATTAGTTTTATTGTTGAGTATTTATTCTATTTTGAACCTGCGCAATACATATTTTTATATATATCAATATAACAGACAAATAACCCATACCTGGATCAAAAAGGAGTTGGATGAAGCAAGTGCTCTTTTGGTTCCAACCCCATCAGATTAAGTGTTTTAACAATACAATACAGTTATACAACCGATGGTATAATACAGACAAACACACACACACACACACACACACACACACACACACACACACACACACACACACACACACACACACACACACACACACACACACACACACACACACACACACACACACACACACACACACACACACACACACACACACACACACACACACACACACACACACACACACACACACACACACACACACACACACACACACACACACACACACACACACACACACACACACACACACACACACACACACACACACACACACACAGAGGTTGGAGACCCCTGCTTTCCATACTTTGTCCCACAGAGACTGCAGCTCCTCCTGACCTCCCAGATCCCAGAACATGAGCCGAGCTTTGCCCACATCTATGGTGCCGACTGTAAAACAACACAACACAATGAGAACACAGTAAATATAACTCAGCAGAAGATTATTATAATAACTTACTGTTCAGACCAACTGTTGTGGTTATCTTTGCGAGATTCATCCCTTTGTAACTTTTGCTGAATTTTGTTTTAGTTTGTTCCAGAAAGGTCTGAGAGAAACACACTGATGGTTATTATTATTCTTTAAGGTTGGTTAAAGTTGGTTAAAGGTAAAAAATCTCTATATACCAGCTCTATATCCCAAACAGAGGCAGATTATGAGTAAAAGACTAAGCCCCTGCCTCAGCCCTGGTTATCACAGCCTGTTTACTGCTATATCTGTGCACATACCGTCTTCCCTGCATTGTCCAGTCCAAGTATAAGAACACAGAACTCGTCCTTCTGGAACATGTACTTGTATAATCCAGATAATAACGTGTACATGGCGGATGTAAACAAACAGAGACTTTATTCTTCTACTGGAGAAAATACTGCAGCAAAAAGCAAAATCCACGACGAAAATCTTTTATAATCCCACATTTGTATCATCAAAATATAACGTAAACAAGCAACAGAGTGCGGACGTAAGCAGCAGGACGTGTAGGGAATATGGGAGAGACGAGTTATTCCGCTTCAAGTGCTCAGTGCTGCCCCCGGTGGTTCGGAGGCGAATAACAGCCTCAGACACAGCAGCGACCTGTGACAGTGCTGCCCCCGGTGGTTCGGAAGCGAATAACAGCCTCAGACACAGCAGCGACCTGTGACAGTGCTGCCCCCGGTGGTTCGGAGGCGAATCACAGCCTCAGACACAGCAGCGACCTGTGACAGTGCTGCCCCCGGTGGTTCGGAGGCGAATCACAGCCTCAGACACAGCAGCGACCTGTGACAGTGCTGCCCCCGGTGGTTCGGAGGCGAATCACAGCCTCAGACACAGCAGCGACCTGTGACAGTGCTGCCCCCGGTGGTTCGGAGGCGAATCACAGCCTCAGACACAGCAGCGACCTGTGACAGTGCTGCCCCCGGTGGTTCGGAGGCGAATCACAGCCTCAGACACAGCAGCGACCTGTGACAGTGCTGCCCCCGGTGGTTCGGAGGCGAATCACAGCCTCAGACACATCAGCGACCTGTGACAGTGCTGCCCCCGGTGGTTCGGAGGCGAATCACAGCCTCAGACACAGCAACGACCTGTGACAGTGTTCACTTCATATTTATAGTCTTTGGTGGACACAGGCATCATGACAGGCTGACTTTTTAATGTAAATAGTCTGTTTTTAGCATCAGAGGCGAGTCCTAATGTTTTTAGTCTGCTCCATAGACTGTACATTCTGCTCCCATCCAATGTGTGTCCAGTGATATTATATAGATCCATGGTTTTGTGTGGTGTGTGTGTCTCTGGTGTATGTCCTTGTGTGTGAATGTACTGTTGTGTGGGTACTTTGGGGTCTGTTGTGTGTGTCTCTGGTGTATGTCCTTGTGTGTGAATGTACTGTTGTGTGGGTACTTTGGGGTCTGTTGTGTGTGTCTCTGGTGTATGTCCTTGTGTGTGAATGTACTGTTGTGTGGGTACTTTGGGGTCTGTTGTGTGTGTCTCTGGTGTATGTCCTTGTGTGTGAATGTACTGTTGTGTGGGTACTTTGGGGTCTGTTGTGTGTGTCTCTGGTGTATGTCCTTGTGTGTGAATGTACTGTTGTGTGGGTACTTTGGGGTCTGTTGTGTGTGTCTCTGGTGTATGTCCTTGTGTGTGAATGTACTGTTGTGTGGGTACTTTGGGGTCTGTTGTGTGTGTCTCTGGTGTATGTCCTTGTGTGTGAATGTACTGTTGTGTGGGTACTTTGGGGTCTGTTGTGTGTGTCTCTGGTGTATGTCCTTGTGTGTGAATGTACTGTTGTGTGGGTACTTTGGGGTCTGTTGTGTGTGTCTCTGGTGTATGTCCTTGTGTGTGAATGTACTGTTGTGTGGGTACTTTGGGGTCTGTTGTGTGTGTCTCTGGTGTATGTCCTTGTGTGTGAATGTACTGTTGTGTGGGTACTTTGGGGTCTGTTGTGTGTGTCTCTGGTGTATGTCCTTGTGTGTGAATGTACTGTTGTGTGGGTACTTTGGGGGTCTGTTGTGTGTGTCTCTGGTGTATGTCCTTGTGTGTGAATGTACTGTTGTGTGGGTACTTTGGGGTCTGTTGTGTGTGTCTCTGGTGTATGTCCTTGTGTGTGAATGTACTGTTGTGTGGGTACTTTGGGGTCTGTTGTGTGTGTCTCTGGTGTATGTCCTTGTGTGTGAATGTACTGTTGTGTGGGTACTTTGGGGTCTGTTGTGTGTGTCTCTGGTGTATGTCCTTGTGTGTGAATGTACTGTTGTGTGGGTACTTTGGGGTCTGTTGTGTGTGTCTCTGGTGTATGTCCTTGTGTGTGAATGTACTGTTGTGTGGGTACTTTGGGGTCTGTTGTGTGTGTCTCTGGTGTATGTCCTTGTGTGTGAATGTACTGTTGTGTGGGTACTTTGGGGTCTGTTGTGTGTGTCTCTGGTGTATGTCCTTGTGTGTGAATGTACTGTTTGTGGGTACTTTGGGGTCTGTTGTGTGTGTCTCTGGTGTATGTCCTTGTGTGTGAATGTACTGTTGTGTGGGTACTTTGGGGTCTGTTGTGTGTGTCTCTGGTGTATGTCCTTGTGTGTGAATGTACTGTTGTGTGGGTACTTTGGGGTCTGTTGTGTGTGTCTCTGGTGTATGTCCTTGTGTGTGAATGTACTGTTGTGTGGGTACTTTGGGGTCTGTTGTGTGTGTCTCTAGTGTATGTCCTTGTGTGTGAATGTACTGTTGTGTGGGTACTTTGGGGTCTGTTGTGTGTGTCTCTGGTGTATGTCCTTGTGTGTGAATGTACTGTTGTGTGGGTACTTTGGGGTCTGTTGTGTGTGTCTCTGGTGTATGTCCTTGTGTGTGAATGTACTGTTGTGTGGGTACTTTGGGGTCTGTTGTGTGTGTCTCTGGTGTATGTCCTTGTGTGTGAATGTACTGTTGTGTGGGTACTTTGGGGTCTGTTGTGTGTGTCTCTGGTGTATGTCCTTGTGTGTGAATGTACTGTTGTGTGGGTACTTTGGGGTCTGTTGTGTGTGTCTCTGGTGTATGTCCTTGTGTGTGAATGTACTGTTGTGTGGGTACTTTGGGGTCTGTTGTGTGTGTCTCTGGTGTATGTCCTTGTGTGTGAATGTACTGTTGTGTGGGTACTTTGGGGTCTGTTGTGTGTGTCTCTGGTGTATGTCCTTGTGTGTGAATGTACTGTTGTGTGGGTACTTTGGGGTCTGTTGTGTGTGTCTCTGGTGTATGTCCTTGTGTGTGAATGTACTGTTGTGTGGGTACTTTGGGGTCTGTTGTGTGTGTCTCTGGTGTATGTCCTTGTGTGTGAATGTACTGTTGTGTGGGTACTTTGGGGTCTGTTGTGTGTGTCTCTGGTGTATGTCCTTGTGTGTGAATGTACTGTTGTGTGGGTACTTTGGGGTCTGTTGTGTGTGTCTCTGGTGTATGTCCTTGTGTGTGAATGTACTGTTGTGTGGGTACTTTGGGGTCTGTTGTGTGTGTCTCTGGTGTATGTCCTTGTGTGTGAATGTACTGTTGTGTGGGTACTTTGGGGTCTGTTGTGTGTGTCTCTGGTGTATGTCCTTGTGTGTGAATGTACTGTTGTGTGGGTACTTTGGGGTCTGTTGTGTGTGTCTCTGGTGTATGTCCTTGTGTGTGAATGTACTGTTGTGTGGGTACTTTGGGGTCTGTTGTGTGTGTCTCTGGTGTATGTCCTTGTGTGTGAATGTACTGTTGTGTGGGTACTTTGGGGTCTGTTGTGTGTGTCTCTGGTGTATGTCCTTGTGTGTGAATGTACTGTTGTGTGGGTACTTTGGGGTCTGTTGTGTGTGTCTCTGGTGTATGTCCTTGTGTGTGAATGTACTGTTGTGTGGGTACTTTGGGGTCTGTTGTGTGTGTCTCTGGTGTATGTCCTTGTGTGTGAATGTACTGTTGTGTGGGTACTTTGGGGTCTGTTGTGTGTGTCTCTGGTGTATGTCCTTGTGTGTGAATGTACTGTTGTGTGGGTACTTTGGGGTCTGTTGTGTGTGTCTCTAGTGTATGTCCTTGTGTGTGAATGTACTGTTGTGTGGGTACTTTGGTAGTCTGTTGTGTGTGTCTCTGGTGTATGTCCTTGTGTGTGAATGTACTGTTGTGTGGGTACTTTGGGGTCTGTTGTGTGTGTCTCTGGTGTATGTCCTTGTGTGTGAATGTACTGTTGTGTGGGTACTTTGGGGTCTGTTGTGTGTGTCTCTGGTGTATGTCCTTGTGTGTGAATGTACTGTTGTGTGGGTACTTTGGGGTCTGTTGTGTGTGTCTCTGGTGTATGTCCTTGTGTGTGAATGTACTGTTGTGTGTGTACTTTGGGGTCTGTTGTGTGTGTCTCTGGTGTATGTCCTTGTGTGTGAATGTACTGTTGTGTGGGTACTTTGGGGTCTGTTGTGTGTGTCTCTGGTGTATGTCCTTGTGTGTGAATGTACTGTTGTGTGGGTACTTTGGTAGTCTGTTGTGTGTGTCTCTGGTGTATGTCCTTGTGTGTGAATGTACTGTTGTGTGGGTACTTTGGGGTCTGTTGTGTGTGTCTCTGGTGTATGTCCTTGTGTGTGAATGTACTGTTGTGTGGGTACTTTGGGGTCTGTTGTGTGTGTCTCTGGTGTATGTCCTTGTGTGTGAATGTACTGTTGTGTGGGTACTTTGGGGTCTGTTGTGTGTGTCTCTGGTGTATGTCCTTGTGTGTGAATGTACTGTTGTGTGGGTACTTTGGGGTCTGTTGTGTGTGTCTCTGGTGTATGTCCTTGTGTGTGAATGTACTGTTGTGTGGGTACTTTGGGGTCTGTTGTGTGTGTCTCTGGTGTATGTCCTTGTGTGTGAATGTACTGTTGTGTGGGTACTTTGGGGTCTGTTGTGTGTGTCTCTAGTGTGTGTCCTTGTGTGTGAATGTACTGTTGTGTGGGTACTTTGGTAGTCTGTTGTGTGTGTCTCTGGTGTATGTCCTTGTGTGTGAATGTACTGTTGTGTGGGTACTTTGGGGTCTGTTGTGTGTGTCTCTGGTGTATGTCCTTGTGTGTGAATGTACTGTTGTGTGGGTACTTTGGGGTCTGTTGTGTGTGTCTCTGGTGTATGTCCTTGTGTGTGAATGTACTGTTGTGTGGGTACTTTGGGGTCTGTTGTGTGTGTCTCTGGTGTATGTCCTTGTGTGTGAATGTACTGTTGTGTGGGTACTTTGGGGTCTGTTGTGTGTGTCTCTGGTGTATGTCCTTGTGTGTGAATGTACTGTTGTGTGGGTACTTTGGGGTCTGTTGTGTGTGTCTCTGGTGTATGTCCTTGTGTGTGAATGTACTGTTGTGTGGGTACTTTGGGGTCTGTTGTGTGTGTCTCTGGTGTATGTCCTTGTGTGTGA